AAAATGGCATAACTAATGGTATAAAAAAGAATGAATATTAATGAATACTAAATATATTTTAATAATAAAAATCTAAATTTACAGAAAATTCAATTTCAGAAAAATGGAACCGTTTAACATTTTTGACAGAAAGATTTGTACAATTGAGTCAGTCCAATCATCCATCATCAGTTCGATTAGCTCCAAACGATGTCAATATTTTCTGACATTCAAGATTTTGAAATAACAGCCATAGTGCATGAATATCTTATAGATACGGCGCTTTTGATCTTTAAGCACAAAGGCATTCCCGTCTGCCGGTACGCCTTGAAAGGTTATTCCGTCGCAGTAAACAAAAATATTCGTCAAATGTGAAATTAAGAAGTGACAAACTGAATCGATTATTTCCACGAAACTTACATCGCGTTCTCTTCTGCATAATGGGTAAGAGGAAGGCCACAGGCAATGCGAACAATCCAAATCATGACCTATGTGATTTTTTGATGGGTAAGTAACTTCTTTCTGTATGTTATAAAATGATTTTTTCGCAAGGGAATATAATTCTGTTTAGATTTGTATTGTAAGAATACGCGAAAGTATATGATAAAATGTCTTTGCAGAACTGGCAGATTATGAACGTAATGTCAGCAAAAACGTTTACAAATACAATGCATATCGCAAAGCAGCTGGAACATTAAGTGCTCTGACAGAGAGAGTTAAGAGTGGAGAAGAGGCGAAAAAGTTACCTGGAATAGGAGTAAAAATTGCAAAGAAGATAGATGAATTTCTTCAGACTGGAAAACTGCAAAAACTAGAAGATGTACAATCTTGAAATGAGAATTTCAATATATATGAATGAATTTATATATAATTGAGTGAATTTATATATAATTCTATACATATTTTGTTTTTTTAGATCAAGAAAGATGATACTAATGTCGCCATTAGTCTATTAGCTCGAGTGTCTGGCATAGGTCCTGCCAAGGCAAAGGAATTAGTGGAATCTGGTATCAAAACTTTGGAAGATCTTAAGAAGCATCAAGATAAGCTTACACATCATCAGAAACTGGGATTGAAGTATGAAATTGATTTGTTGACATTGCATATATTTCAACTAATACAACAAATTCTTGTAGATATTTTGATGACTTTGAGAAGAAAATACCAAGAGCAGAAATTGCACAGATAGAGAAGGTATTGAAGAATGCTATCAAAGAACTAAACAGTGCTTATCTCGTAACTATCTGTGGGAGTTACAGACGTGGCAAAGAGGAAAGTGGAGATATCGATGTTCTTGTAACTCATCCTGATTATATATCAAAAGCAAAAGATGGAAAAAAGAAGGCCATATCATTGAAAACAATTGTTGAGTGTCTTGAAAAGAAAAAATTGATTACAGATACAATATCTCTTGGCTCTACTAAATTTATGGTATATTAAAATAGGACTAAGAAGTGGAAAACATTTGAAAGAATGAGGAAAACATTTTTAATTATATATTATCTTTGTGCAGGGAATCTGTCAGTTACCAGAAGATAAAAGCAAGCCTTTCAGAAGATTAGACATACGTCTTACATTTCACGATCAATATTATTGCGCTATACTTTATTTCACTGGGAGTGATCTGTTCAACAAGAATATGAGAGCTCATGCATTGGAAAAGAAATATACTTTGAATGAATATGCATTAAAGCGTCTTACAATCGAAGGTAAAATATGATCGAGAAACAATACATAAATATAGCAATTAAAAAAATTTCATAGTTATAAGAGATTATTTTTAGGTCGTCCAGGAGAAGCTGAAAAAATTACATCCGAAGAAGACGTTTTCAAATTTCTAGGTTTATCCTATAAAGATCCAAAAGATAGAAATATATAAATGGAAAAAGATTTTCTTTTTATATTCATAATTTATTATTATATACAAATATGTTTTATGTATTATTTATTTATAATTAGTATTGCAATGTAAAATACAAAAAAATTCTGTTAAATTAATATGTTAAAAATAAAAAATTATTCACACATAATACATTTTATAAAAATTTTATTTAGAAAGTTAATACATAATAAAATGAAAATTGCGTTATTTTTATATTTTACAATTTATTTGTCAATCAACAATTTACTTATATAAGAGACGAATCATTTAACATATTATTTTAGAAATTTTGTTTTTGTAAATCACACAGTCTCATAAGCAAGTATATATCTGCATTAACAATAATGTAAGTATAGTAATTAGTAATAATACTCAATCATAATCCCTTAAACACAGGATTATGATGCTTTACGATAAAATCATTAATAATATCTTTGACATTATTAATTTTAAACAGATATAATAATGTCTTTCAAATACAACCAATATGCAATAACACCCCATAACGTTGTGGTCCACAAATTCATAGCGAGAACTGACCAATGCGTAGCATGTGACAGTGTCCAAGCCCATGGAAATATGCCCTTGGTGACAATATGCCCAACATAGAGAGTAATTGGATTCAAACCTAAAACAAATATAAAATTAAAAATATGTAAAGCTCATTTTAATTGCATAAAAAATGAAATACATATTTGGACACTGCATAAAAGAGATAAAAAAAAATTCAACAGGAAAAAGAAATTTATATATGTATTATTAGATAATACATACCTGCGTAGTTGAATGGTGCACCGCTCCAATATTGTTTATAATCGACAAAGACATATAAGATTGCATATAATAAAAATGCAAAACAAGATACTGTCAAAACAAATGAAAGCGACATCATTTTCTTGCTGACTGGTATTACTCCAAATTCTTTGTCAAAGTCACATAATATTCCAGCAATAAGACCCTGAATATAAATATCGATTATTATTAATCGTATAAATGTACTTTCTTTCTGTTGCCATTATGTAGAATAAAAAAAAAATTGGAACTTACGGTGACAAATGACCATAGCAACCAGCGTATTACTTTAGCATTGCATTGATAGTAGAGCAATAAAATCTTTCCAGCATGGACACCCAAGTACACAACAAGTATTATAGATATAGTGTTCATTATACCTGTAAGTGACACGTTGATCATAAATTTCATTATGCAAAATTTATAAAACTTTTATTGGAAAAAATAAAATATATGCATACCTTCAGGATCATGAGGCAAGATGGTACCATACACAGGATTTTGTGTTTTAGAGTACATATGACTGCCAAACACGAGTCTATCTATGTAACCGGCTGCGCCTCCAGTACAGTTAGCAAATTCTCCGAAATGATGGTAACCACCGGGTCCCAAGTATCCTGTTGGACAATTCGGGACAGGCAGAAGAAATGTGATTAGAATATGCGTCGTCATAATCGCTAAAATGATCAACCACTGCGCCCAATTGTTCAAGATATCTCGCAGGACTGTAAATCGACCGAACTGTAACACGTCGTCCTAAGAGATTATTAATTATCACTATTATTGATCCACCGTAGACATACGTAACACATTATTATAAAGAAAAAATATATGATTCAAACCTGAGGATGCGTCTTCATGAATATAGTCTCAATAGTGGCGCATATGAAGTACGAAACAGCCAGCAATTGAAGAACACCAGGAAATCGGAGATCATCTAGCGACTTTGCATAAATCGAGTTTAACATCAATCCGAGAAGTATGAGAATAATTGTACGCTGCAGGCAACGAACAATGATCTTCCCGCGTGAATTTGACACACGAAGCTCTGATCGCTTTGATATAGTGATCGACAATCCCATGATCCACGCAAACCTGAAATTGCAATGTAAGAGTATAACAGTGGTAGAACGAAATGTACATGAAATGCAAAAGGGTACAGATAATTTACCAAGGTAACACTAAGTCGGCCACTGTCAGACCATTCCATGCGCTATGATTGAAAAACATATACTGGCCACCGCCGTTATTGACAAATATCATCAATAATATAGAAATCCTGAAATAATTTTCGTTATAATATATAATAAAGAGTGTAATAAGAGTGTAATAAAGAGTAATATATAATTAAGAGTGTGTTAAATCATTTCACATGTAAAGGTGAAAGATACCCTCGGAACGTATCGACTGAACGGATCCTAATACTAGATCTGTTTGTCCTAATCATTATATTTGCCGTCTCTGCTTCTTGAAGCTCATCCAAATCCTGTAAGCACATATTAAATTTTGAATTAATAATATCAAATTTAATCTTAATATAAAGCATAGCACACATAATATACACATAATATACACATATTTGTACACTTACATCGTGTACATTATCTGGAGATAATTTTCCTTTTACCACACGTATAATAACTTTAACAGTAGCAAACAAAATAGTTAGCAGAACAAACACCATAAAAGCTGCAAATATTGCTGCAAGAAATATGATCATTGACATCAACCAGAAATTAAGACTAATAGCGAATTCGATTGGATTGTATTATTGTGCACTAGTAAACATTAAAGTCATCGTGAACGAAATAAAGATAAAAATATGACAAAGAAATACGATAGAAGAATATGTGACATGAAGATGATTTAATATAAATATAGAAACCGCATAATTCTTATTATATCTGAATATGTTTTATGCTGTTTGGTAAAATATGAATTTTATAATTCGAAATTTTATTTGCATTTCACTTTTAGATTCAGATTAAATTAGTATACAATGGTTTTAATATGCACTAATGATCTTTAGTGCATTCAATCAAATTAATTATTAAAAAAAACTGAATAAAAATTTTTTTGGCTTACGAAGATAACTGTTGATCGGTTCACGAATGGTATAAATGTTCGAGCAAAGTTGCTCCGCAGAAATATTCCATCCATAACTTCCATGTTCTTTAAAATTATATGTTGTGCTATAAACAGACGAGTTACAATATAATAATTGTATATATTTATATATTAGTAAAAGATGTGATATAAGATCATAGAACTCATATTCTATTACTTACTGACACCATTCAAGCTTATCTTTGTAAAATATGTGCAAGGGAAATTTCGTAGGTACGACTAACGTGGTATTTTCTCCTGCTGGTAAAATAGCCCGTGGAACATCTTTGCACTACAAAAGCAAAGGATAATATTGTTAACAGTTTAAATAAAAAAATTAATGTTTTGTTCAAAACTTAATAGTTTTATTTTATCAAGTACGTACCAAATAGCAATCCGCTAAATGAGAATACAATGTAACAGATCTATTATATTCGTTCAGAATGCTAAAACACGCTTTATCTATTCCAAGCGTTGCATTAGTATCGAGACAAGGATTCATTGCAATGTCTTGGTTCATGACAGACATTTTGCTGTGATCACAGTTGCTTCATTAAAATCAAGATCTTCTCTAGTATAAGTACCACTGAAAAATGAATAAATATATATATATATATATGCAATAAAAAGATAATAAAATATATTTTATTTATATTTCATCTTTCAAAGTAATCTCCAATTGACAACAATACATCTCCTACATCTAACAAAGTCTGAAAATCTTTTTTAAGGTATATAATTAGAGTGTTATTCAGAACACTCATCACATTTCTTTATCTTTGACTTCTTGAAAATGCTTATCTTTCATCATATTTTTAAACTATGAGAACATGAAATCTGAGAAGTCAAATCTAATTAATTACATACGTACATTACAGTTAGATAGCTCATCTCAATAATTTATTAGCTACAAACTGTTTTATGATTTCTTTATGCTTAGGAATGTTGTCATGTAATTTTCTTGACCAAGAAAAAGTTGTTGAGAATTATCACACCACTTTATTCATCAAATTTTTCAGTTTTCAAAGCTAGAAAATATGACAAAAGGTAAACATTTTTAAGATGTTGGGGACATTTGGAAAAATGTAACAAACGCTTTGAACAATATTCTAACAATAAACTTTAAAAACAGCTTTGAGTGTTTTTATATCAAAAATGTGTGAAGTATATTAATATCATAAGGGTTTACTTTTAAAGATAAAATATACAATGTTTTATTACAATGTTTTAATAATGAAATGTCTCTGTTTTCTTATTGCTCTGGGAATTTTATTGTCAGATTAAGTTGTTTCAAAATTCACTGCCAGTGCAAAAAATCTATAGTTTACGTTACGTGCACTAATTGTCAGCATAGGTAGTGAATTTTGGAACATAACCATATAAAACTTAACAAAAAAGAACAGCAGATAGATGCAACTGACATGATATTAAAGATTTGTTTTCTGTAGCTGTGCTACATGATACCTTTTGCACTTAAAACAAATTTGACATAATATAATATCTAATTACAATATTATCCAGATATAATGTTTCCGACGCAAAATAGGAAGATAATGCGCAATTTAGAATGCTTTAAAATGCGTTTCGTCATATTACTATACCTGTATATACATGGCAGCTAATACAATAGGAGCACGATTGGATGCACAATGCACGGATATGATCAGAATATCTGGCTACCACGAAACAAAACAATGGGAATGAGATCGCAATTGGTCGCGGTTCTATTTCGGACTTTTGTTATGGTTAAGAGACCATAATTCTAAACTTAAAAAAAGGCTAGTTCCTGGATTATCACCTTTTTGTAAAGAGGAAAAATCGAAAAACTCAGATCACTAGTAAAAGACGTGAGAAAAACCTAGTCAGCTAGAATACATTATACATAACTATATCAAGATTCTGTGTTGAACTATTCTAAAAGGAGGAGAAAGACACTCAAAATCTTTCAGTTGGAAGTGGAGAGACCAGCTAACAAAAAATACATGACAGGACAGAACTGATTAAAGACGCGATCAGATGCAATTCACAATCTTTCGGTTGGAAATTCCAAAAAAAACAATTACACTGACACTGCGTCACTTTCAGTACAAAATATTGTAGATAGCGTGGTAGCTTCGCTCAAACACATCATAGGCCATGATTCGTTCGGCATGGTCGGTAACCAATTGCGTTCGACTTTTAGACATATGCGACCGCGGGACTTTGTGAAATGCAACGCGTAAATAACTTAGCAGAATCAACGATTTATTGCTTAGGCCGATATAATATTCATAGCCAGATCTTACATTCAAGATCATCTTAAATATGATCTTAAGAAGTCACGAATCAGAGGGTTGCGTTAACGTTTTAAGGCATTATTTAAGTACAATCTTGAAATAAGAATCGAGACTATGAATACCGGCTTTAGGAATGACTTTGGATGCGATCCACTTCAGAGTCTTAGCACAATAATGGTCGTAACCGAGTCGTGAATCGTGAATCAAGTAGTCAACGCACAATTTTTGACATACTGTGTGTCGTATCGATCTCTTGTGATGGTAAGGGTCTGAGCACAAGAATTGTCGTAACACTTACTTAGAGACTTAAGTTGTAGACGTAAGTAACGCACAAGATATGGCGATATACGATCTATTACCGTCTCTTGGAGACATGGTAATAAGTTATCATATGTGAAAGCTTGTGCATTATTTATGTTACAATTTAAGTCTAAGTAAGTGTTATGATAATTCTTATGATATTCTTATTCTCAGACCCTAACATGTCTACATCAGCGGTCATCTTTGGTAAAATTACAAATCATTAACGGTAAGTAACATAATTATATCATATAACTTTTCAAATATTTTAATACTTCAGATATAAATTATCATATGTAACAAATTTCGAAATGATTAAAAAACATAATCTTATATATCAAGTCCTTCGAACATTAATCGAATCAGTATACATATATATACAAAAATTTTAAAAAATTTTTAAAAATTTTGCAACGTTGTAAATAAATAAAAATTTTTGCATATATATATATATATATATATATATATACTGATTCAATTAATGAAGGACTTGATATATAAGATTATGTTTTTTAATCATTTCAAAATTTGTTACACATTATTTCGTTACACATGCATTGACAATTTATGATGCTGAGGCCCTCATGCTGCAAATTTGAAGGGTTCTTTGATTGGTCAATTCGTAAAATTTGTTCTTCTGATTGGTCAATAAAGTATTCGCAGCGTTAAGGGATTATACCCCCTGATAGCAAGCTGACATTAAAATGACGACAAAATGCGTAGCTTGCTACCTGGGACCCTTTGATTAAATAATTCTGATTAATAATTTTTCAAGCAACAAATATTTATAATATCTAATATTTTAATAATACAAATATTATAATTTTTTTTCTATTGAAAAGAAAAATTGAATTAATTAGGAACAATATTTTATATATGTAGAACCAACGAGATATTATTAAAGACCGATATCCTTACGAGAGTTCGCGTCCTTGAGAATATTGAAGTGATTAAAAACTAATAATATTGTATTAATTTTATGATTTATTAGTTTAGTAGACGTATTTATGTATTTAGAACTCAATAATATTCGATTTTTCTTTAAAATTGTGATTTCAGTGTTATCGTCAAAGTTTGATTATCAACAGAGGTGATAACTGCAGAGAAAAAATTGTAATTTTTCTGCAATATATAGGATATTGTAGCGCTGCACGTATGCACATTATTTATTTATGGAACATTTATATATAATAAAAAATGAATCTGCATTATTAAATCATGAAGCCAAATATTTATGTTAATAATAACAAATTTATATCAATTGTCGATGTTAGCATTTTTCAATTATCTATGAGCCCTCCGGGCCCTTTTTACCACCGAAAATTTGCCCAGGATTAATGGTCTTTAATATAGTATTTCGTCAGTGGTAAAATGTAGAATTAGCTAATTTTCATCATAAAAGTGATTTAATTGAATTGTAAGAATAGGAATTTTAAAAATAATCAAAATATTTTTCAACTTCTGAACAAAAAAATTTTTTTACGAAAGTTCTCAAAAATGAAGAAACATATAAAACTGTACGATTTTTGTAAGTATATCAAATAGACTATATTTACATTATAAAATGTTGGCAAAAAAGATTAAGTATAAATAAAGATTGTGTTCCACATAAAATACTTTTTATTTTTATTGAGTATTCGGTAAATAAGGATAAAATGATATATTAGGTATATTGTGCGTTTTAGGGAGCACACGGCTAAAATTAAATAATGACAAACTATATATGTAACAATCCTACATAATAAGTAATATTTTATGTTGTATTAGACGGTCTAAAACTCAAGTTTTTGTAAAAATTTTATGTTGAATTTTTAACATAGAATTTTTAACATTTCGAGTGTTAATTTAAATATAATATGTTATATCAACTAAATAATATTTAACATAATAAATATGATTATTATGTTAAATATTATGTTATTTACAAATTTTGTGTTAAATTGATATTCAATATTTCGCAGTGTCAAAATAACACAATTTTTATGAGTAATTAACACAATTTTTATGAGTAATTTTTATGAATAATTTTTATGAGTTAACATAAAAATAATTTAATATTTTTACATAATATTTGTGTTACTTTCTAACATGCATATTCATCTTTCGTTAAATTAATATAAAAATTTGAGCATATCATTTAGGACAATGTGATAAATTTACAAATTGTCCAGCTCTGTGTACTGTTTACGACAACGACCTTTCCAAGGTTCCCAAATACTGCGCAACCACGAACATCCTGCGATGTGACATACAAGCTTCCTGCGGTTTCGCGAATAAACATCACGTTTCTATTAGCCGCTCGCGACGGACGTGATAACAATCAAACGTGATAAGGTCCGATAAGTCGACCGTCTGGTAGGAGTTCGATAATTATATACGAATGGTATCTGAGATTTATCAGTCGAGATTGACCATTTTCGCAGTCGTTTCTCTGACGCGATCGGACGTACTTACTCGCAAAATTTTTGACACATACAAGGACTTGCTGCTGCTCGCAGTGATCTCGAGGTGTTTTAGGAATTTCTCTTTCGACGCACTATGGAATCCTCGATAATTGACGAAGCTGAGTCTACTGAAGTTAAGGCGCAGGTAAAAAAAAATTATGCGAGTAAAAAAGGAACTAAAGGAAATAGATTTTCTATTTTTGTACAGTCAGAAGTATAGTACAGTACTTCTTTTCTTTGAAAAGAAACATTCAAAAAACCTATGTATATGCAATGCTAGTATTTTCTTAATATTTTATACATTTCTTTTTAAGAATTATAAAAGCCCTGGAAGTAGAAAACCACATACACAAAAAAATCTATCGTACATTGGAATACCTTTAATCTAAAGTGCTGAAAACTGCGCGTGAGGAAAGCAGTTCTGCACAATTGATAAAATTATTTTTCATATACTCATACTATTAATTGCAAGCATGTATAAAATAATTATTTTTAATCGAAATAATTTTAAATTAATATGCAGTATTTTACTACCAGACTTACATATCAATTTTGAAATAATGAGTCAAATATATATATATATAGCTAATAATATTTAAATTCTACTTCAATTGCGCTGAATTTCCAATACAATTATATTAAATAATTCAAAATCTTGAATCAAAATAAAATATTTCTATTAACAAATATTTTGTAATATTTCTTTTCAATATTAATTATTTAAAATCAGCAGTTGAAGAAACAATTTTGTGACATATCTATTAAGTCTGTTCTACAATGTGTTTTTTGTTCTTTGTTTTTTGCTTTTTGCTATTATTTACTTTTTTTTTGCTTTTCGTCCGGTGTTTTATTTTATATCGCCCGAAATAATGAATTTCGAAAGAAACAAGAAATATGCAAGAAATATAATTGTCGAGAAAATAAGAAGAAAAAAAACAAAAGATGAAAAACAGAAAACAAAGAGCACATTATAGAATAGGCTTTAGCCTTTATGGTATGCTGAGCTTCCTATGTTCATTATTTCAATTGAAAATCAATGTAATACAATGCGTAAAAAATCATTTTTGTATGCCTACTAATAATTTCTAATACAAAAGAACTTCTTTTTTTTACATCTTTTAAATTTTATCGATTTAAAACAAAGGCCTACGCTTCCCTTTGTTCTTTTTTTTTCTTTTGTGATATGTTTCAAAATAATTACGCTAAAATTTATGAGTAAACTCTCTTTTAATGTTTTTTGTACAAAGAAAATTCATACTGATTTTTAAAAAAATCACTATTAAAAAATGACAAAAGAAGTGAATCTATATAAATTTAAATACATAGAATATAAGTATCAATACTTGTGTCAATGACGATCTGAATCATTGATAACGGTCGCTTGTTTCACTATCACTTGGCGAAATTTTTATTCTCTAATCTGTTAGAAAAGGATAACTAACTTATGCCCATTTCCACTAACGTATTTTAATCTCGGTTCAACTTACTCTTTGTCTTTTTTTGATCTTTAGAACTAGAAAAAGACGAAGAGGTAGTTGAACCGAGATTAAAATTAATCTACATTAGTGGAAATGGATATAAGTTAGAATTAGTATCTAATTAAAACAACTGCTATACTTGTGCTTTTGTTGTATCGATAGCTTCCGTTATTCTGATTTTATCATCGATCACTGCTTTATTTACAGATTGCTCTAATGATAGATAAAAAAGATTTTGTAAATATGTGTGATTTAATATCAATATTGATATTATCAAGATCAATATATATTAATAGCTATCGATTGTAAAATTTCTTTCTAATAAAACAAGCACGCGATCTTCTCAGTTAATATTTTCAAGGTATATTGTTATTAATAAACTAGTATATATACACTTTTGTAATATCGTCATTAAAACTAATGATATAAATAATAAATATATTTGTTGATCTCTAAAATAATGATATCAATTTTAGATTTAACTAAATATTTTTATAAGCAGAGAGAGAGAGAGAGAGAGAGAATGATAGAAGAATTTATTTATATAAAATTAGATAGTTTCATGTAAAACAATAAAGACAACTCTCAAAATATCTAACGCGGTTCTAAAAGTAAGTAGAGGTTTCTATTAATTTTTTCATTTGAATAATTTTTTATATATTTTTTTTAAAATTATCTTTTTCGCAAAAATAAAAATAATAATAATAATAATAATAATGAAAATAAAAATAATTATAATTACTTTAAAATTTTATACATATACATGCAGAAAGATCAAGACAGTAGAAAGACATCGAGAAATTAAATGACCGATATATACACAATTACAATATAAGTTTTATCTATTATATTACATTGATTATAAAGTTAAAACACCGTCAGTCAGTCTAATGCTCATTTCTACAAATGTAGATTAACTTTAATCTCGGTTTAACTTATTCTTCGTTTTTTTTTAATCTTTAGAATTAGAAAAAGATGAAGAGTAAATTGAACCGAGATTAAAATTAATCTACATTGGTGGAAACGGACATTAGGATTACCGCAGAAAAAATTTCGTAATGTTAAGCTTAAACTTAAGCCAATGGTAGCAAGCTGACATTTTGTCATTATTTTAACAAAATGAGCTTACAAATGAGGAGTCAATTAGGATATTGCTTTAGGTTTATGTAATCTAATAGAAATAGAAATAGCAGTAAACTTATCCATAAGGCAAATTTCATCCGGTTGACGTTTGTCTTAGAGATAAGTTTATTGTTCTTCTATTTCCGTTAGATTACGTAGATGTAGAGCAATATCCTTATCTTAAGTTTACGTCTTATGGTTACTGTTACAAAAATTTTGTTTACGGTATAGCCCTAAATGACGGCTAGATTGCAGGGGTAGTAGGATAGTGTAACATGGTCGAAAATCAAGCTAAAGATAGATCGAAAATCGGCAAATCGACGTTTGGTTCGAATAACAGAAAGATACCTGCGAAGGATTGAGCGCTGATTGGCTAACCTAGGCTTTGTCATTTTCCATGACAAAGGATGTTGGAAAATCTTTCCCCTTCTTTCCTCATACATGCATAACCTGTATCAGTGTTCGATGTGTCGTCTCAAGAAACTATATCGCAGTCTTATTGCCGTTTTAATACTGAAGCCAAATTGATCTAGAAAGAATTTAGTGCTCGGTCATAAATTTTATAGATTTGTAATATATAATTTAATTTATACATAATTGTTATAATACGATTTATTTTTAATTTTTAAGCCACAAATTATAACCGTTTGATTGTTGTGGACACGTGTTCACAACGCCGGAGTCATGGAAATAGGCAAGGAAATAGAGAAGCAAATGATCAATCTCGAGTTCTTAGTTCAATTAAAAACAAGTGAAGATAAATGCTATAACTTGTTGAAGAAAGTGTACAAAAATCGCTGTATAAGTCGTGGCTGTATACATGCATATTTTGATGTAATCAATGGAAACGTGAGAGGATCCGCTAATCAAAAGAAAGAAATTAAGAAGAAAAAGGATAAGGTACATAGTTTTGTGTTTCAGGAAAAAGAAACTCTAGGAATGAACAATTTAACCGTAGTAGTTTTTCATTTTATATTTGGATCTCTTAATTTATTAGCTGTATTATATTTTCTCTTTTATGTATAATATGCTGGTTTGTATAAAGGAAGCACGTCCGTATCTTTAGATTTTTTGATGTTTCTTTACACAGTGTTATAGAAAGAATTAGTTGCAAGTCGGTATTCCATATAATACGGCATAAACCATATCCACTAAGTAGTCTTTTGTCTTCTATTGTCTTGTCTCTGTGTATCTTGATATATTTCTGAACGTTACTTGGGCTACGTTCCAAAACTTTCCTCTCCGAGGAAAATTTTACTCGAACAGTACACGTAACGTATGCTATAGCATACAGAGTAAAATCTTCCTCGGAGAGATAGTTTGGAAACATACCCCAGTGAGAAATGATAATGAAATCGATACTGAATCGACGTCGATTCAACGTCGAAATCATTAAATCGACATCGATTCAATGATCGATGTCGATTTGATGATTTCGACGTTGCGAAGCGTGAAGGCTTTTTAGAAGTTTCGTTTATGCTTCTGTTACTCTTTCATTATATCCGCTCCGATTTACGCTCCGATTTTTATTTTCATATAATTATATTTGCTTTTGGTAATTATACCTATAAAATATTTTTGTAAATAAAATCATGCGAATTGCTGGTTCGCGGAACAGGCACGTTTGACATTGAATTGTGAAAATTGTTACAAGACATTAAAAATGTGCCTTTTTCTCAATGCGCTCAGCAATTCGTACGACATATCCACGCATCTGATATGTATCGTTAATGCCTAATTTCTTCACCTCTAGATAACTTAATCCAGAAGATATCTCACAAATTAATGGAGATTATTTCCTGGCTAAAGTTATCTGCAAATGAAGAAATTGGGTATAATTAGGTGTAAGGTCGATAATTTTTTCGTAGGATAAAAAACTGATTCAACTACTCCGATTCACCCTGTATATATATTTATTTGTTACAAAATTGATTTGATTTAATTATCATTAATTTAATTTAATTATTATTTTTTAGTAAATATTTACTTACTGTAAATAAATGTTTATTTACCATTAGTACTATTAAAAAAAATATGTATTAAGGTTGTGAGTAATTTTTTTTTCAGAGTATTAAAACGTTAATTAAATTATGCGTCAATTCTGGAATGAAAATCTATTAATTGCTTTTGTATATTATATAATATCATTGACTAAATTCTAAAATATAATCGATTTTTTTCACTTATAAACGTGTACTAAAATGTTGTAGAGTATTTTATTTTATTTCTTTGATTTATTAATAAACATTGTCATTCACATATTATATCTAGAACTTTTTTACGAAGGAGAAAAATTCCCATAATTATTCTTTAATTATATTATATAAATTGTTCATAACAACTAGAAGCATTACTAAAATTTACCTATCAATGCAGTAGATATATTTCATTTTCTTTATTAAATTAATTTGTTTAAAAACAATGAAAAAACTTCCATAACTTTTTAACTAACGAGATTGTTAACAATAATTATCAAAACCAGCCAAAGTAGTTTGCTGTAATACATTTCTTATTTCTCAAATTGTTAATTAATATGAATATGACTTATTTTAATTCGTATTTCGCAATTTTTGCCATTTACTTGTTATAGTCGCAAGCATGTAAACAGAAAAGTAATAAAGCATTTTGAGCAAAGGATTTCAGAGTTCCCTCTGATGAATATTTGTGTGTGTATTTGATATTATTTGCGTGTAATCTTACTCTCCTTTTTCTCTTTGTTTTTTTCTTTTTTCTCATTATGTTTGGATTTTACTTTGAAAATCGTCTGCTAGTGTTTATTTGGCACGTCTATTGTATGATAAAGGAATTTTTTAATAAATAAATTAAATTAATACATTAATTTTATTAATTTATTAATATTAAATTAGTATAATATAGTTTGAATATTAGTAATATTTTAATAAATTAATTTTATAATTCATTAATAAATAAATTAAAATTAATTTTAAACTAGATTAATTTTCAGAGGGAAGTGAACAACAACATAGGAAATACATCACCTAACTCACCTTTTAACCTTACTATTCTAAGGGAGAGATCCAATTCCGCGGTGACTGATTCTATCGGCTTTTAAAAATAATTAGCGGGTTTGGGCACTTCGCCCGCCCCCCCCCGGGGCAAAAAGATGTTTTTTTTTTTCAATCATGGGAAAGAGATGTTAGATCGAGTAACGACGTTTCCCATGATTGAAAAAAAAAACATCTTTCCGTTGAATATGGCCAACCCTGTATTTGATAAAATTTAAATAATTTTTTATTTAAATAATTTGAAAAATATTCTTGTTACTTGATAACTTTATTTTTTAACTTTTTTATTTTTCCAAATAAAAAGTATTTGTATAAATAACAATTAAAATATTAATATAATACCAAACTATTTTTATTAAGGATAAAATTTTATCAGAGTAACAAATTAGATACAACAACAATTTATTTAATTGTTATTTGTCTATTGACAAACATACGATAAAAGAATTATTTCACATTTAAGTTATTTTTATTACATTTCGAACGTGAAATTGGAATTAATGTTTTTCAACGGAAGATTTTGAATTTACTTTATAATTAATATGATAAAATTATATGAAAGCAAGATATAAATCTTTTACAATGTAAACCGATTGTTTTCTTAGACACTATCAGTTTCCCATTGTACGGATAATTTGTGTATTCCGGGAACATCCCGAGATGATCATGCAATAAAAACGACGAACAATAAGCGAGAAGATGAACAATTCAATGAGAGGGTGAAATCATCTCTGTCGACAATCGACGCTATCGGCACGTACGTTATATAAAGAAATGAATGATAAGGAAAAGTCTTATTAACTTAGAGAGAGACATCATAATTCTGAAAACTAAGCAGTACAATTCAATAGATTTTTGTAATAATATTAGAGATCGAGAAGTAATTAAATAAAGCGTAAACTAAATAAAAATATTACCATTAAAGTAATATTAATTTGAAGTTGAATAAACTCTCAGTTAAACGAGTTATACTGAATGTATATAAATACTTCTTTAAAATTATTACTAAAAAGCGTTAAATACTCAACTGTATACGTTTAATTTCACTGATACTATTAGTTACAATCGTTTTCCAATCACAAATATTTTCAGCTACGTTTTATATTCATTAACATCAAAATATATTTTTTCACCAAGGATTAGATTTTATATTAAAATTTGGAAATTGTTAGCATTTAATTACACTTTTTTTCCGTTTAATTTTTTTGTTCAGCATCGAAAAAAAATCATTGATAAACAGTCCTCCAAAACTTATTGCATTAATGCCAGTTGAAAAGGATGCAGACTGCTATAACATGAATCACAAAAATCGCGGTAAGTGCATAATCTTCAATCACGAAGATTTCTCTATGTCTACACAAATGAAACGAGTGGGTTCCGCAAAGGATGCAGAAAGATTGCAAAAAACTTTTGGAGACCTCGGATTTGACGTTGAACTTCACAATGACTTTACATTCTCCGAAATACAAGACGTGCTAAAGAGAGGTAAAAATATTTATCACATTTTACATTAATTTATTATATATTCGTTTTCTTTCAAGTCTTGACTGTGTATTTTACTTAGCGCAAAACTCTAGTGTTGCGTGACATGAATTAACAATTTTAACTAAAGTATTAAACAATTTAGCTAAATATTATAGATAGAAATTTGAAATTTTATTTGCATTATCAAAATAATTGAATCGTCAACTGAAGGAAACAAGTCCAATTTTTTTCGAAAATTAGTTTTTCTGTTGATTGATCTGGAAATGGCGGATTGATACACTTTTAGTGCAAATAAGGAATTTATTTTAGGATTCTAATTCTAACAGCTTAAGTAGACATTGAAAATGAATAATAAGTGTAGAAAGAGTATGAATCCAGGACTTGCAAGTTTGGAGATTTGAAAAAATGGAATACTACATGATACATCCTGTTAGAATAGCTTTTTAATGAGATTTTTTAAATAGTCAGCGACTGAACTTGAAAAGTAGTCAGAATAAGAGATATTTTAATAGTCACTATTTTAATTCTAATGTTTTAGAAAAGTTTTACGTAAATTGTCCCATGTTGTTTAATAAAAAAAAAATATTTAAAATATATATTTAAAATATATTGTATAAAGTATAGTAAAAAATATATTGTATAAAGTATAGTAAAAAAATTAAAAAATTTGTAATATCCCGGGAAAAAATGTTATATACCTGTACATATGGACATATTTGATATATAATTATATACAATTGTACATAAAATATGTCAATTTTTTATATAATTATATATAATTTTATATAATTATATATAAAACATTTTTTCCCGGGATATTACAAATTTTTTAATTTTTTCGAGTGCAAAAAGAGTATATAAGTCCAATGTTGAATCCCAAGCAGAACAAGTCATGATAACATCAAAGTGACATTAAAACGAATCGGAAATAATTGTAAAATTTTAATAATTATTTTGGAGTCATTATGATACGCACATCTATATTTAACTTTAATTGTAGTACAAAAACTAACAAAATTATTTTGAGAAATTAGGTAAGAAATTAGGTATTATTAAATAAAATTTAATAATATCTTTGAAACATTTATAGTTTCTGAAATGCTTATCTATTTAAATAAAAATCTTAAATTTCAAAACATACAAAAAGAAAAACATAAAATCACAAGATATTGTTTGTGATATTTAATATGTCATTACAATAAAACATTTTTTAGATGTTTCGGCCACAATCTGGTCATCTTCAGTAAATTCACAAATATTCTTAAAACGCAAAATTACATATATTTGACAAGAAATTCAGCCATCATGTAATATAACTATGTACAAACGTATTCTTTCATCTTATGAAGGTGCAACAATGTTGCAGCGCAAATTGTCATATTGCAAATTATGTAGAATAAGAATTTCCAGATTCTAATTTAAAAAATTAATCTATCATTATCTTCTAGTCGATTGTATGAGAATTGAATCGTTACCTGTTTTACAAAAAATGATGAATCTTAAGCACTTCCTTTACGCAGATGAAAATTCGGCATGACATTGTGTGTTATTATTTGTCATATCATATATGTTACCAATATTTATATGTTAAAAGTTTAGATTGTTCTAGAATTATTTATTAAGTGTGAGAAAGATCTTTCTTTAGAAAATAAACATCGGGCAAACCTTCCATGTCACTTTGCTTATTGATACTACTTATTTGGTTTTTTATGTATATCATTTCAGAAATTCTTCTTTTCAATAATGATTTTTTGTATCTAAAATTCTAATATTATCCCAATCCGATTCGTGCATTTCATTCAATTGGTGGCGTGAAATCACTGACATCTCAGAGGTGGATCTTCTTATGTCAGCCTGATGTTCTTTGATTCAAGTTTTTAATTTCCTTTTTGTTTGGCCAACATAAGAAGATTCACAATATTTAAACAATTTATTTTATAAACCACTCCACAATCTTCTTTACACACAAACGATCTTTTCCAGTTTTAATAAATCTATTCAATTTATTTATAGGTTTGTAAGCGATATTAAAGCCCCGAACTATGTGATAATTTTTTTAAATTTTTCCGATACTTTACTTAAATATTATATTATAAAAAACTTTTTCTTTAAATTAGAATTAGAATCGCTTTCATTATTATTACACTCACTATTTTTATCTAAATTCGTTCTATTTTCTAAAGTTTTAATTCTGTTTTTTATTGTTGAAAAAATGAATTCAAGAGGATAGCCATTTATTGACAGAGTGTGAACTAACTCAGAAATGTTTTTTTCCTGGATGGAAATTTTAGATGGGATAAAAACAATATTCTATCTAGTTGCCCTATGATTACACCCCTTTTATACTAACGGATGATGCGAATGATAATTCAAATATCTCTCTGAGTTAGTAGGTTTTTTATAAATATCGAAGATGAACGTCTAAAAAATGTTTTATTATAATGACGTATTAAATATCACAAACAATATCTTGTGCGGTGATTTTATGTTCTTCTTTTTGTATGTTTTGAAATTTAAGATTTTTATTTAATAGATAAGCATTTCAGAAACTGTAAATGTTTCAAAGATATTATTAAATTTTATATCTGATTTCTCAAAATAATTTTGATAGTTTTTTTACTACAATTAAAGTTAAATATAGATGTGCATATAAAACCTATATAAGTCAGCACTGACTGAATAAATTATAATTTATTTTAAGTATAAATAGATAAACGTTTCGATTCTTGATTTGAATCCTTATCAGTTATACGAATAAGTCACATGTTATAATTTGCATCTGTTCATCCAGTGCTGGCTCATATAGGCTTTATATACACATTTATAGATTAATTCATTTGAGTCTGTAAGAGCTTTTTAATATTAAATTTAAATAGTTTTTGTTAATACTGAAAAATTTGATGTTTCTTCTCCTTTCTGCATTCACCAACTCAATTACGTAGAATATTGTCATCAACAGTTAAGCGTTTTACATAATTATTTTGATAATTTAATAAAATTATTGTCATATTTGTATTTAGCTTAATTTTCGTAAAATACTTTAGTAAAATTATTCTTTCTATGTATGTGTGTTTATTCAATTCAACTTTCGCGCGATTGTATTTACATGTAATAGTGAGTCAACTTGATCATACGGATAATGACTGCCTCTGTGTCATTACATTAACCCATGGTCTGCATAAGGACATAATATGCGCGAACGACGTCATGTATACATCCAACGAGCTTTGGAAGCCTTTTGCTGCCGACAAATGTTTGACGCTTGCGGGCAAACCTAAATTGTTTTTTATCCAAGTAAACCAGTTAAAACTAATGTTTTTGAGTCTTGTTCTACTTTTAAATTATATAATATATTCAGATATGTTTCCATTTTGTCATTATTATATATATAACTTTTTGTTTAGGCTTGTAGAGGCGATGAATCCGATGATGGTATTCAATTGGTAGCCAATCGATCTTTAAGAGGAACGGAAACTGATTCCATTACTACAAGTTATTCTATTCCGATTCACGCGGATTTTCTGTTAGCTCACAGCTCAATTGAAGGTAAATGTCAATTAATTACTTTAATATTTCCTTTATTAAAGAAAAAACTATTACAATACTTATTTTTTAATGCTATTATTTAATAAAAACATATTATAATTATATTGTTAAAAAAGGTTAAGAATTAATACGCAGCTAATCTTTTTTTTAACAAAATATTGCATAAATTGAATTTCTTTTTTTCAAGATTTTAAAAATATGCAAAAAATATGCGATATGCAAAAACGCATATAATATGTACAATAAATTTAACTTTGTACTAGATATAAAAATCTTAGAACACTCTTAATAACTAAAATACATTATTTTAATCACATTATATGTACATATAAAGGAATAAAAAGTGATGTAAGTCACTTTTTAAACATATTGAACATTTTATTTTATATGATTTAAAATCAAACGTAGTGAAGTTCCCTCTTTTAAAAAAATGATTTATTATATTGATATGATGTATTATATATGATGTATATATATGATGTATTATATTGATTATGGCATTTACTTAAGACATAAAATTTAATATTAATTTTTTATGATAATTTAATCTGATAAGTTCGGATTTGCGATTCTGATCAATTTTTGTGAAAAATAAAAGTATAAAAAAAAGAGTCACTGAAAATAACAAAAGAGGAGATATTATTGATAAATCAATGAATTAATATAAATAAATACGTTAACATAATTCTCTATTATTTCAAGGTTTTTATACCTGGAGGAGTCCCTTTGAAGGAACATGGTATATACAGTGCTTGTGCGACATCTTAGATGAACATGGAACAACAATGGATTTGATGAAAATATTGACTTTAACTGCGCGAAAGGTTGCCACAGAATTTTCCTCTGTCAATCTCGAGCATAGAATTTTACACAACAAGAAGCAGGTGCCGTCAGTGACGACGATGCTGATCAGATCTGTTTATTTTCCACCAAAATCGAAGAAATAATTTTGCAGAGAAATTGCAAAACATTTTCAAAAAGACAGAAATAAATTGAAAGGCTAAGCAATTGTAGATGAATATAGCATTTTTTAAATTATTTTAATTATTAAATAATTAAGTTTCATTTCTATTTTTGCTTTAAAGATATATATATATATTTTAAATGCAAAATACACTATGTTCATTTTATATATACATATATGTTAAACTTATGATCTCATATATTTTTTTCTTATTAGTATATACGTTTAATAATACAAAATAATTAATATGTGTTTTATATTATAATCTAATTCTATATAAGTTCAACCTTATTATTGTAATATTATTGTGATATGTTGTATGTATAATATATTATATATACAATATAATGTATTATAATGTATTGTGATATATTGTATGAGTATTGAATTTTTTATTGTAAAAATGATTTTCAGAACTGTGTTTCTTCTCATTAGAATTTAGAGAGTTAGTGCTCCTCTTTCCCACCTCCTTACATACGCCTATGGATTATTTCATGATATTGTCTTTATTTTAAATGCAAAATACTCTATTTTCATTATATATATATGTTAAACTTATGATCTTGTATATTTTTTTCTTACTAGTATATACGTTTAATAATACAAAATAATTAATACAATGTGTTTTATATTATAATCTAATTCTATATAAATTCAATCTTATTATTGTAATATTATTGTAATATATTATATATTTAAAGTAAGGATAGAAATGCGTTCTTGTTTTCAATCTTTCAAAAGATATTTCATTTTTTTCATTTTTTTGTAAATACCGTTTCTAGATTTTGTTATTCTCTTGTTTTATCTATAGAATAATTACTGTTAACTTAATTATTTAATAATTAAAATAATTTAAGAAATGCTATATTCATCTACAATTACTCAGGCTTTCAATTATTTTTTTGTGCTTTTTAATAATTTTGTAGAGAAATTGCAAAAAATTTTTAATTTCTCGTACGATTTCTCGTACGATTTCAGTCAATCGTATATATTTTTCTTATTAGTATATACGTTTAATAATACAAAATAATTAACATAAAATGTGTTTTATATTATAATCTTATTATTATAATTCCTTCATAATGTTGTTTTCTACATATATGAAAGCATTATTTTTATATTGGATATACATAATTGTATGTGATGTATATACATATATGTATACATATCATAAGTATGAATATACGTATATACTAATAATAGAATAAAGTTAAAATAAGTTGTTTGTATATTATAATAGTTTACTACGAATTAGAAAATTAAAGAAAATTATAACTTAATAAAAATTATAACTTAATTTCTTACAATACTTTACAAATAAGTCTTTATACTTTAATAAATAGATGATGAGTTAGTTTCTATCGTTTCTATCATTGACACTTATATTTAGCAAATGATGTAATCATTGTACGGTATTAACAACAGTCAAAAAACAAGGTCAATCAGCGAGCATTCAATTTTCTTTATTACGATTGGTTCATAGCTTTAGATCCAACAAAAAATTAAAAGCAATAATCAATTATATTTTAAAACTAACGTGGTTCTAATATTAACACATATAAAAAATAAGAGCATAAAAAACCACAGCACAAGTTATAGTTTGTGATATTTAATTATTATTACATTCATTAAAACATTAAACGTTTCGGCCACAATCTGGCCATCTTCAGTAATTCAATAATATTCTTAAAACGCAGAGTTACATCTAGTTGACATTAAATTCAACAGTCGAGAGTTGTAATTAAATAAACATGTTCTTTTGTATGTGAAGATGCTTCATGCAGTAATGTTACACGGTCAATTGTCATATCAAGAAAAGTGTAGAACAAGAATTTCCTGATTCTAAATGAAATTATATATGTTAAAATCTTCTAGTCAGAATATAAAGAAAAACATCTCTGAATTAATTCACACGTTTCTGAGTAATGGTTATCCTTTAAAGTTTATATTTTCTACAATAAATAATAGAATTAAAACGTTGGAAAACAGAACTAATTTAGATAAAAATCTTAAAGAAATTAATAATGAATGTGACTCTAATGTTACTTCTAAAAAATTTTTCACGTTACCATATTTGGGCAAAGTTTCGGAAAAATTTAAAAAACTTTCTCATATGTACGGTTTTAATATAGCTTATAAACCAATGAATAAATTGAATACATTTATTAAGACAGGAAAGGATGCTTTGCCTAAGGATGACCAATGCGGAGTAGTTTATAAAATTAATTGCTTAAACTGTGAATCTTCTTATGTTGGCCAAACCAAAAGGAAATTAAAAACTCGGATTAAAGAACATAAGGCTGATATAAGAAAACCTTCTTCCGAAATTTCTGTGGTCTCACGTCACCGTATGAATGAGATGCATGAATTAGATTGGGATAATATAAGAATTTTAGATAGAGAACAATCTTTAGCGAAAAGAAGAATTTCGGAAATGATACATATAAAAAAACAATCAAGTGGTATCAATAAGCAAAGTGACACGGAAGGTTTGCCTGAGGTTTATTTTCCTCTTCTAAAAAAGGATGTCTCTTTCTGTTAATAAACAATTCTAGAACTTTCTAAAAATTTTGACTCAGATATATAAATAGTGGTAAAATATATGATAGGACAAATAACAACACATAATGTCACGACAAAATTCTAACTGTGTAAAAGAAATATTCGAGATTCATCGTTTGGTTTTTTTGCTGTAAAACAGGTAATGATTCTTTTTCTTTATATTCTGACTAGAAGATTTTAAAATATATATAATTTCATTTAGAATCAGGAAATTCTTGTTCTACACTTTTCTTGATATGACAATTGACCGTGTAACATTACTGCATGAAGCATCTTCACATACAAAAGAACATGTTTATTTAATTACAACTCTCGACTGTTGAATTTAATGTCAACTAGATGTAACTCTGCGTTTTAAGAATATTATTGAATTACTGAAGATGGCCAGATTGTGGCCGAAACGTTTAATGTTTTAATGAATGTAATAATAATTAAATATCACAAACTATAACTTGTGCTGTGGTTTTTTATGCTCTTATTTTTTATATGTGTTAATAATCAATTATATTAAAGAATCATTAAGCAGCTTTGTCTTCTGAATGTAATAATTATCGCTTATTTTATGACGTGAATCCTTTTGATCACTCTTAAGGATTATAAGATTTGAATACAAGAATGACATTAGAATTATATATTTTTTTAATTCGGAAGAGAGCATTTTCACAATTACGCTACTGATCTCTTTACACAATTCTTTTTTTAATTGAGAGAATTTTTAACGGTTGCGAGTTTAAAAAAATCTCGTTTGTTGTCTCCGAAAACCCCACTCGACATTTTTCATTCTTTCTCGTAATTGTTTGCGTTTACACTGATCTATTGCAACATATGTTTATTCGACCCTTCTGTCACCTGTAGGTTTTCTTCTTTTTCCTTTTTCGAGTCTTTCCCTTTTCTTCGTCTGACCCAATATCTGTCCCGTCAGGTTGCCGTTCGATGCCCTCCGTCATTTAATTAAACGTCGACCGCCTACGGTTGAAAACGATACAGCTTGTTCAACGCACGAAAACGACATTGGTCCCCATTCATCGATCACGCGCCATTGCAACATTGTTAACACATTCATCATTGGCGTAAAATCGCTATCGTTATCTACGTAATTACCTCTCATTCCCCGTGAAAGATGGGACGAGTTAAAAGAAATTTAACGTTGTTTCATAGACTTCTAATTTATAAATTTTCAATTTTTGAAAGATTAGAGAGATTAATTTAATTATAAAAGTAATAAGGCTCAATAAATCAAAATAAGTAAAAAGGAAAAAGGGCTAAAACATAAATTGACAAACTGTATAAATAGTTAAAAAATAAAATAAAACTATGTCATAAAATTAAAAACGTAAATTATAATTTGACAATCAGAAGGTGAACAAAACAAACGTTTCGATCCTTGTTGGATCATTTTCAATGTGACAAATAAATTAATGTGACAAATAAATTAACAATAGAGTTATAATGTAGATAAAAACATAAGAAATTAAGTAAAATTCGCATTCGGACGCAAAATTAACTATAAAACTCACTCCAAATTGAGAAGAAATCAAACAAACGATTATAGTTGACACAAATGTGCTCCTCCAAACTGTGTTTGTGTATAAGGACGAACATGTTTCTGTTAGCAAGTACAAATAATAATAATAAATTAACGATGGAAGTAAATAAATATGTGATACGATCAATAACAACACATAGTGTCACAACAAATTTCTATCTGTGAAATGAGTATACTTGTAATTCATTGATTATTTTGCTGTAAAACAGGTAATGTTTCCTTTGTTTTATACTCCGTTTTAAAAGATATTAATAATAAAATAAATTATTGTAAATTAGAATCTGGAAATTCTCGTTCTACACTTTTTACTACATGACTTCTGACGTTCTAACATTATTATATGAAGCAGCGTCGCTTTGATGCACGATCTTTACAATTATAACACACGAGGGTTGAATTTGATTCCAACTTGATGTAACTCTGCGTCTTAAAAATATTATTAATTTTACTGAAGATGGTCAGATTGTGGCCGAAACGTTTAATGTTTTTATTGTAATTCGTAATGCAAGAATAATTAAATATTCACTAACTACATCTTGTGCTGTGGTTCTTTATGCTCTTTCTTTTCATATTTTTGAAGTAAATAAAAATAATAAGAAAAGTACAAATCGAGTCGCAAACAATAAAAAGAAAGGTACAAAACAAGTAAATAATAAGTCAAAATTAAAAGAAAGAGGTAAAAATTATCTTTGATATTATAAGACAAGCACATAAGAAATAATAATGATGATAGAAAAAGAGTAAAATGCCGAGATTCATTGTACGTGTATATGTATGAGTTTAGAACAAATAAATTTATAATAAGTACCTTATGTGTGTGTCGAAATGATATATTATCGATTAGGCAATGCAATTGGAATCGAAATTGATCATCTCTCTAGGAAACTAAGATATAAAGTACGATATATAAAGACAAGAAGGTTGAAATGGAAAACTAGAAAGGGAAGGGGGAAAAAATAAGAAGGAAAGAATAAAGTGGAAGGGAGAGAAAGTAGGGAGAGAAGAGAAGGATAGGAAAGGGAAAGCAGTCAAGAAGGAGAGAGATTGAATGATCTGTGAATAAGTATCAGGTAAAGATTCGGTATCTTTTGCCTATTAAGGCCTTGTTTCTGTCTTTTAATATGAATCATTTCAGACACCAACCTCTTATTGTAAGAAGATTCGCAGTCCAAAATTCTCACATCATTCCATTTGAAATTATGATCAAAATTGATTCGATGATCAGTTATGACAGTAGGAGAACCTGTATTCTTTTTGATGTCAGAGATATGTTCGTGTAGTCTCGTGCTCAATTTTCTCTTTGTCTGACCAACATAATTCGCTTCACAATCATCACATGAGATCTTGTAGACAACATTCTGATTGGATAGGAAATTAAGCTTGTCTTTTCCTCTCTTTATGAAGCTTTTTAAAGTGTTAGGAATAGAAAAGGCCAATTTACAATGAAACATACTAGAGATTGGAAGGAAACTTTCGGAAATAGATTTAACATAAGGAATCGTAAAATATTTGTCTTTATTACGTGAATAGTGTGTAGTATCTTTGTTATATTTGTGAAACTTTAATTTGCGTTCTATTGTAGAGAAAATAAAGGAAAGAGGATAACAGTTATTTAAGAAAATATGAATAGCATCTATCAAATTTTTTTGTTGGAATCGTGGATGTGATAATAGGATAATTTTGTCAATAAAACTGATGATGGTACCTTTTTTATGGCACAGAGGATGATTCGAATGGAAATGAAGAAATCTTCCAGAAAATGTCTTTTTATGATAAATGTCAAATATAATTCTCTGGTTATCTATAACCAGTATTATATCGAGAAAACTCAATCTGTATCAACCTCCAAGGTAAACTGCAATCTCGTATGTAAAGAATTAAAAATGTTCAAAAATGTTCATTAACAGTATCAGATGGAAGCGCGAGCAAAATATCGTTCACATATCTAAAATAGAACAATGGTTATGCTGACAGTTTTTTTAGTGCTGTTTCTTCTAGATCTTGCATTACAATGTCAGCGATTATCGAAGATAACGGTGAACCCATCGGAATGCCAAATACCTGTCTGTAAGTTCTATTGTTAAAAATAAAAAAGATAGAATTTAAAATGAATCTGACAGCAATAATGAACTCATTTTTTGATATGCTTGTCTTCGCCGAGATGTAAATCCATCTCCTGTCGCTGCTATTTAATGCTAGCTCAACAGGAATATTAGTAAAAAGGGATATTACATCCAACGAAGCCAAAACATAATTAAGATCAAAAACAGAACCATTTAAATGCTCAACTGCTTCCATTTAAATGGAAACTGTCTTTAATGTAACTGGGAGCTTTTGGAATACTGTCACTAATTAAATTGTGTAAAAAAAAAGAGAAAAATTATATAATGGACTGTTGATACAAGAAACAATCACTCAATGGGTAACCCTCCTTATGTATTTTAGTCAGACCGTAAGTTCTAGGTATAACACCATCAGATGTAAGCAGTCTACGGTATGTTCGTCAATAAATTGATCTCGCCTCCATCTCACCAAAAAAGTGCGTAAGTCTCGAGTTAATTTTTTACTTGGATCTTTATTAACGAAGGCGTAAGTACTCGTGTCTGAGAGAATCTCCTCCAGTCTCGATACATAGGCGTCCTTGTCCAGAGCAACAGTGACGTTACCCTTATCGGCGTTTGTAATGAGTATATTAGGATGGTCATTAATAAACCTCTTAGTGCGTAACCAGTCCAAAATTAGTTTGTCAGTGGATGTAAGAGAAGGAAAATTATTGTGGAATCTATTACGAATTGGAAGGGAATTATTCCTGACAAAATTAATGATATTATTGGGACCAGTAATATTATTATCTATATGTTTAATGAATTCAATTAAGGTACTGTCTTTGTTGTATTTGTTGGTTGGAAGCCCGAATTTTTCGCCAAGTTGCAAAAGGTAACGAACCTCTAAGGGAACGTCAATGTCGTTCAGGTTGATAAATCATTTATCCCGTAAAAAATCTAAAGGAGAAGCCTCATCAAAAATGTCGGGAGCAATATCAATATTCTCTCGAAATTGGATTGGGTATTGTACGAGCACCTATCAACAACGAGTTGAATACTTGGAGGATAGTGTCTTTGGGAAAAGATCGTAAGAGATTGGTCTAATGTTTGAATTTGATAATTTTAATTTTTTCTGAGATTAATTTAACTCGTCAACAAATATGAGTAGATTCGAAACGTACATTCTGCACGTTTGCACAAGTTCAGAAACATTTTCTGTCCTTTGTCGATATTTTTCAATCTACCTGTTTTTTGCAAATTGAATTTCAGCTAAGACTAAGAAAGTTCTAGCTGCATTATTGATGAAAGCACGTAGAAGTTGATATATCGACGTTGACGCCGCGACAAACGCATCGGTCGCACCCTCTATAGAGACAACCCCTTGTCAAGCTGTGACCCGAGGAGCAGGGTCATGGTGGATCTTCAAGGTAGCCTGGTAATTACATCAATTAGCTTTGCAAGAGCGCATTTAAGAACGATCAGATATTATCACGAAGCTTCGCATGAAATGAGAGTTAATTCTACCGTAGGCAATTGAGAATTAGTGCATAACAGATACGATTTAATCAGCTAGTTAGATGAACCGTCTGATTTTAATGTGACTTTCAATATGATTCCTTCAGCGTCTGCATAATTGCACGTTATTGACGTAAAACCGCTATCGTTGCCTACGTTTATTTCTCCTTTTGAAAGTCGAAGGAGAAATTGATCAAGATTGTAATGAAAACCTTGAAAAGATCATTCAGTATATAACAATCCGGAAGCTGTAAATAGTTACACGAAGAAAAGGAGATGATAATTAGCATTGAATTAATATATTTCTCGAGATGGTGATTATTGGAGTAGCTGCTGAAAAAATAATGATCCTTCAGAAGACTTTAGGATATGTTTCCGGAATCAAGCGAGACAGCGAGGAAGTTGTGTGTCAATTGAGATTTCAAATAAGCGGCGAAGACAATGGGATCATAGTTGAACCTCCAGAGGACTCTGGACCATGCATTCGGAAACTAGGAATGAAACAGGATGAGGGTGGCGACAAGCGGGGGTGAGGGTCGGCCGCGGAGGGTGCCTAAGGACCAGGAGTTTGCGCGAACAGATCAATACGGGGTCTGTCCCCCGCACATGAACATGTCTCTTACCCGCTCTTTCTCATTCTCTCTTCCTCTCTCTCTCTCTCTCTCTCTCTCTCTCTCTCCATTTTCATCTCGCGCTTCCTCTATCTTTCTCTCTTTCTATTCTTTTTGTGTACTTTTGTATTTTATCTGTTTTCCTCTCACATGAATTGTCTCCGATGTGAGATTATATTTTAATTCTCGATTACTTCCATTCGCTGTACTCGCCATTCTTTTATACCTTTTTACGTTTGTTTTAGCTCTCTTTCTTTCTGTGACGTAATAATATCTGACGTAGTAATAATAACTATAGGAAGGATCTTACGTAATCTAGAGTTTCTTAAAATAAATTTCTTTATATTTAAATTTATTTAGTTCTCTATGTTTAAGACCATCGATTCATCCATGTCTCTTTCTCCTTCCTAATCTGCGATTTTTACAATCCTCCTCTCTGAGAGCTACTGCCTTTTATTCTAACTCACATTCTCTGTGTCTTCTATTAATATTCTCGCTCAATTGAATACCTTGAAGACTCTGTCTGCCATAAGCTCAACATATCCTATTCGTAAGTAGATATCCTTGGATTCATCCCTCGCGCTCGAATATATCTTTTCCTATCATCGCCTACTGATATAATTTTTTTTTCAAGCGTCTGGATAAAATCCATCCAATCGCTGCTCTACTCTGTGATACTTTGCGGCCTCGTAGCATTGACACTGTATCGTTTATCACATTGAAACATTGACCCGTTCCGCGTGACTGTTTTTCTCTACTTTTACCAATTTTTCCTCCATTGCCTCTCGTCCTTATATTGCTTCTCTCCTTACATAGATCTCTCTCCTACTCTGCTATGAGCTTATATTTCTCTCTTCCCTTCTATTATATAGCTCCTAGTTGGATCAGTTCTTCCTCTCTTTCGCTCGCTCGCTCTTTATTCATGTACACGGTGTTCGAGAATTATCATTATTACATTCAATCACTTCAATAAGCTGAAATAGACGAAAGTTTTATCGTCCATCATGTTCGTGCTATCGTTTCTTTGATACTCGATGTTAAATTAATTTTTCCATCAAATCTGCCAAAAATTTTGTCAATCCAAGTAATTTGTTCCATGTATCCTATATGCTAAAGTCGATTGATAAAATTTCTCGGATTTCCAATTTTCAATCTTCGTCTAGAGAAGGTCAATCGCTTCTTCAGACAGCATGAGAAGTGAAAGAAGTTTTTCGTATTTCCAATGTATCTTCTCATCGGGAGATCACTGATCTTCCGGTTGCACCACCCTATACATGTTGCGCGCGCGCGCGACCGGCGCTCCGTCCTTGTCCGTGACGCGCGCGCTACCCCCAGCAAGGTGGTGGCGGTCCAGCGTGTTAGCCGTACGGGATGCTGAATTCGTAGAAGAGATTCAGTCGTATTGCCTGGGTTCTCTCTGTCGCACGGCTAACGCCCGGACGGAGCGTGCGAGGCTGCATCCGCGTGCTGCAAGAGGAGCTCCGATTTCCTTCCTCGGCGAGAGCTCTTCGTCGCGGCGAAAAGGAAATCGAGACGCACACGGTGGGATGGATACGTCCGCGTGAAAGGGATGCGCTACGTGATTTTGCAGGGGTAACCGGTGGTAAGTAGTACGACTCCGAATTTTCACTCCCTTCTCTTTCTGTCTTTCTCTCTTTTTCTCCTTCTCTCGTTTGCTCAATTCTACCCTGCCCGATATGCTACGTCTAA